CGTCGATCTTCACTCCCATGTCTTCCCATACCAGCTGACGCATGACGTTCTCGAGAGGAGCACTGAAGAGCTTGGACGAGATGGTGTCGCCCTGTCGGACCCCTCTCTTGACATCAATGATGATCTCCTTGTAGAATGGTGAATATCTAACCTGAAGACACAGTTGTAGAATCCTGATCTACATCAGGATTCTTCGAGAGCTCTACAGCAACTTCACGACCAAGATTTCACCATTCTACAAGGAGATCATCATTGATGTCAAGAGAGGGGTCCGACAGGGCGACACCATCTCGTCCAAGCTCTTCAGTGCCTCTCTCGAGAACGTCATGCGTCAACTGGAATGGGAAGACATGGGAGTGAAGATCGACGGATCGACGGTCGGCAACTACACCATCTCCGCTTTGCTGACGACATCGTTTTGATAACGCCAAACATCGAGCCAGCGGAACGTATGCTGGCTGAATTCGACTGCGCGTGTGGAAGAATCGTCTACGGCTGAACCTAACGAAGACGATGTTCATGAGAAACGGATTGGTATCTGATGCCCCATTCACGCTCGACGGATCGACCATCTCTGAATGCTCTAGCTATGTGTACCCAGGTCGTGAAATCAATATGATGAATGACCTAGCTCCAGAGCTGAGCAGGAGGAAGCGAGCGGCTTGGGGAGCCTTCAAGAACATCGAGGGAGTAGCGAAGAAGACGAAGAACACCATGCCCACCCCTTCGATTCCGCGGTCTTCCTGCCTTGACGTACACCACAGAGACTTGGACTCTACGAAAGCAGGATGAGCATGCGGTCGGTGTTATTCAACGCGCCATCGAAAGGGCGATGCTCGGAGTTTCCCGCTACCCGCAAGTGAGAGAGGGAATCCGGAGCTCTGCACTCCGCCAACGATCGAAGATCAGAGACGCCGCCGCATTTGCCAAGGCTTCGAAGATCAGGTGGGCTGGACACGTCATGCGTTTCGAGGACGACCGCTGGACCAGAGCTGCCACCGACTGGATTCCACGGGATGTCAAGCGAACGCCTGGAAGACCGCCTACGCGATGGTCAGACTTCTTCGTGAAAGTTCTGAACGAATGGTATGAATTCATCGTGTCCCTCGAGTTGAAAGAGTTCATTGGGCGACTCTTGCACGTTGCAGGGACGAATGGAGACGTTACTAGCGCCCGCTCGAGGAACTCGATGATCAACGGGAGCACAGGTGATAGGTGATACAGGTGATTTTGAGGTCTAATTAGTGACCACCTCATAAACTATGCACGCTCGAAGTTACAAGCAGAAAGGAGCCCATTAAGGTTGTTAAATCCGCCCATACTTGTCAAGTTCTTTTCACTGAGTTTTTGACCTACCCAGAAACGCATAGCAAAAATGAAACCCATTTTGACCCTTGTATGGACCCCTACAACAAACAATAAACCATTTCAACGCGTCATGACTTGAAACACCTCCCTTGTAAGGTCAGCAGACGGTCGCCGGTGAGGACTGTGGGCGGAGCCAGACAAAAAGGTCTGTAAAACGGTTCCAGAGCACTCCGAAGAGCGGAATAAAGTGAATTCAGGTCAGCGAGGGGTCGCCGATAGAGAAATGTGGAGTATACATATTGTGGGCGGGGCCAGCACAAGGTGGGCGGAGCCAGACGAAAATTCTCCAAAACTGTCCCAGAGCACTTCAAAGATCGGAAAAAGGTCAGCAGAGGGTCGCCGATTGAGAAATGTGGAGTATACATATTGTGGGCGGGGCCAGCCCGCGGTGGGCGTAGTCAGACAAAAGATCTGCAAAACGGTCCCAGAGCACTCCGAAGACCGGAAAAAAAGTGGATTAAGGTCAGCAGAGGGTCGTCGGTGAAGATTGTGGGGCACAAAAATTGTGGGCGGGGTCAGACATAATCTGTAAATAGCTTCAAAGCACTCGAGACACCGGAAAAAAGTGGAGCACAGAAGAAAAGGCGGATATCAGTTGAGTCTAGAAATATGTGAAAGAAAATATGCGCGGCAAAGCCGCGCCCGCCCGGCGCTGCCGGGCCGTATCAGAAGGAGGCGCGCCGGCGTTAGCCAGCGAGCCGTCTGGTAAATAACATTACACTGACGACTGTAATAGATCATGCATCTGCTAATTACTAATTGTAAGAGAAAGAAACAAAAAGAACCGAAAGGAACTTTAAAGTTCTTTCCAGCAAGCCGGCTCTTTCGAATCATGTTGAATTGAGTGAAGTGAAAAACTATCTACCTCCTTCTGCTAAATCCCTTGTCACATAACCCTGTAGAATTCTCCCTGCTATTGACCCACAACATCACGCGAATTGTTACATAGAATGTAGAATTCTACAGGGTTATGTAACAATCGGGATTTATAGCAGAAGGAAGTAGATAGTTTTTCAGACAACTGCCACTTCTCTGGTGGATAAGAGGAGATTGGTTCAGAATTGAACGGTCATGAGCCACTGTGTTGTGCTTGCCTTCCATACTGGAAGCTGGCCATTGAATATGCGGTGCATCTGAGGAAGAAGTTCTAAGTAAGGCCTCAACCTCAGAAGTTCTCACATTAAGGCTATGACGTTTATTCGTTCCCGCACAGCTTACCGCAAATGAATTATGTGCGCGAGGAACTGAGAATTTGCAAGTCTTCCTTGCCTAGAGGTATACGGCTCACTACTGTGGACGAACGCAGTAACGAACCACCTAAGCAAGTTCACCAGTGGATCAAGCCTGTGCACCAAGCTTTGCTTCACACGAGAAGTCTTTACGGTACAATGGCAATACCCCTTTGAAGAACACTGCCTACTCTGGGATCATACAGCGGCTCTAACAGCAGAGATACACAACAGCCAAAGTTGACCAAGTTCCAGAAGAATCCGATGAAATAGGGAAATACATATTTTCCCAGTATGACAACCACATGCACCGACCACATGTCGCAAACATTTATCGTGGAGTCTAGACTGGGGAGTACAACCCCCCCCCCCACCCACACCGTACTCGCCAGCCTCACTCCATCGGATTACCACCTCTTTCACTCACTGAAAAATGCTTCGAATACGGGCATCATGGAAATCCACTGGCACACTTTTTTGATCAAAGTCAGCTTCCTTCCAAAAGCAACTACTACCGATAAATGACAAAATGTATGCGTGCAATGGTAAGTTTTAACAGACTGTAAAGTCATTCATATTTGGAATACAATAGCAATTGCGGAAGGACTCAACCTCAACCTATGAACAATCTAACATCAGCCTGTTATTGGATTTCAATGGTAACAAACACCTCAGCACACACCTGCCTCCATCAGCCACACGAAAACGCTTCCATCTTCGAGCCGCACCAACATGTAATCGTCAAGTGGTCGCCATTTTACAAAACTGACTGGATAGGAATGTCGTGAGGCGAACAAAAGACACTTCATGTCACAGATATTCAGCAGGCTCACACTATTATCCGCGGCAACCGCACATATACACTTGCTAACTTCCTTCTGCAAGAAATGAGTTATACTTGAAGCAAATATTCATACTATGGCAGTAAAATTCAGCTACTGATTATAGAAGTTGTTTTTAACGCACGCTCGAATTCGCTGGAGGAACGAGGAAACGGAGAATGGGGCCTCCGTGAACGCTAAAACGATGGAGCCGTTCAGCAGTACTGATGTTCCACACAATAACAGCAAAATCGTCGGCGCCGGATATAAGCATATTTGAATCGAATCGCGGATGATGTTCATGAGGATAGAAGAGGGTGCTGAAAGCAATTCGAATGAACTATTCCAATGTGAGTAATGTTTTTGAACGAATTCTGAGCAGGTCGCGCAATTGACCTAAGCCGAGACATAGTGGATCGTTCACCTTAAGTGGTACTTATTCCCCCCCCTCCCCCACGAATCCTAACCGCAGCCTCAACATGGCGTGGAGGAGAACGGTTTGGACTGTTCCAAACCGTACCAGGAGGGTGCCACGTCGGAGCCTGGCGAGCTACGCGTGGTTTAAATTCCTTCTCGCCGAAAACAGTGATAATTATGAGCCTCATTGCCGGCTGGGGCCGCTCCGGCGAGGCTGCAAGAATCACAGGGCCAACGGAGATTCAAGTCGCCTAGGACTAGGATGACGATCTGTACTTTCAACGCGCGGACGCTTGAATCTGAAGCTCACATCGAAGATCTGATGTTGCAAGCCAGGAAGATCACGACGTCATCGGACTGACCGAGACGAGGAGGCATCGCCCGCTACACGCCGTGCACGAGACTGGAGAAGAACTGTTCCTCGGAACATGCGACAGCAGAGGCGTTGGCGGTGTGGGCGTCCTCGTCAACACGCACTTGGCCATGAACATCGATTCGTACGAAAATCTGACGACCCGAATCGGACGTTTGCGATTGAGAAGATGTGGTTCAACTCCAGCTTTGACAATCTTCGTCGCCTACGCACCAGCATCAAGCTACGACAAGGATGAGCTCGAACGTTCTATATGGAATTGGAGAATTTCTACGAGGAAGATCATACCTTCTTCAAGGTCATCGTCGATGATTTCGACGCTAGGATCGGACCAAGAAGAACGGCTGAAGAACTTCACATCGGAACTCATGGAATGGAGTGGAATGAGCAGGGTGAAAGGCTGTCCGAGTTTATCATGTCGACCCGTACCATTGATGGTAACTCGCAGTTCCAGAACCCCTACTCTCTACGCTGGACATGGAATACCGTCTGGAGCAGGATGGATATGTCGTTCCTGCAGTTCTCCCTTCCGATGTCCGACACGTCATCTCGTCGGCGAAGAATCGTACGGCACCCGGTCCCGACAGGATCAGACCCGAACATCTCGGAATGCATGCTACCCACCTCGTGCAAAACCGGCAGGACTGTGTTCCTGTACAAACGGACCGGAGACCTGCTAAGACAATTGCAAACATCGTTCAATCTGCCTGCTGTGCGTAGTCTACAAACTCTTCACACGAATCATCCTAAACAGGATTGGCAGAACACTAGACGAAGGACAGCCATGCGAGCAAGTAGGGTTCCGAAGAGGATTCAGCAGGGTCTAACACATCCACACGGTAACGAAGCTCATCGACGTATCGCGAGAGTACAAGATGCCGTTATGTCTCACTTTCGCCGACTTGAAGAAAGCCTCCGACACCGCTGAGACAGAAGCGGTTATCGAAGCCCTGGGCAACCAGGGTATTCCTACTCAGTACATCAGGATTTTCCGTGAGCTCTACAGCAACCTCACGACCAGGATCTCACCTCATTCTACAAGGAGATCACCATCGACGTGAAGAGAGGGGTTCCCCAGGGCGACACCATCTCACCCAAGCTCTTCAACACCTCTCTCGAGAACGTCATGCGTCAACTAGAATAGGAAGACATGTGAGCGAAGATCGACGGTCGGCAACTACACCATCTCCGTTTCGCTAAGGACATCGTTTTGATAAAACCAAACATCGAGCAAGCGGAACGAATGCTGGCTGATTTCGACTGCGCGAGTAGAAAACTCGGTCTGAGGCTGGATCTGAAGACGATGTTCATGAGAAACGGATTGGTCTCTGATGTCCCATTCACGCTCAACGGAACGACCATCTCTGAATGCTCTAGCTATGTGTACCTAGGTCGTGAAATCAATATGATGAACGACTTAGCACCAGAACTGAGCGGGAGGAAAGTGCGGCTTGAGGAGCCTTCAAGAACGTCGAGGGAGTAGCGAACAAGACGAAGAGCACCAAGCTCCGTGACCACCTCTTCAATTCCGCGGTCCTTCCTGCCTTGAATTATACCTCAGAGACTTGGACTCTACGAAAGCAGGATGAGCATGCGGTTGGCGTTATTCAACGCGCCATCGAAAGGGCGATGCTCGGAGTTTCTCGCTACACGAAAGTGACAGAGGGAATCCGGAGCGCATTCCACCGACGATCGAAGATCAGAGACGTCGCCGTGTTTGCCAAGGTTTCGAAGATCAGGTGGGCGGGCACGTCATGCGCTTTGAGGACGACCGCTGGACCAGAGCGATCACCGACTGGATTCCACAGGATGTCAAGTGAACGCTGAACGACCGCCTATGCGATGGTCAGACTTCTTCGTGAAAGCTCTGAACTAATGGTATGACGTTCATCGTGTCCCTCGAGCAGACAGAGTCCACTGGGCAACTCTTGCACGTTGCAGGGGCGAATGGAGACGTTACTGGCGTCCGCTGGAAAACTCAATGATCAGCGGGAGCACAGGTATACAGGTGATCCTACAACAACATAAATCAATAGAGGCAGAGGTAAAGATGACTAAGATGAGTTTGAACTGGGGACTACATAAAACCGCAGATTTCCTCATTTTCTTGAGAAAAGGTGCTGATGATCTCCAAAAACACATGGGCGCATTCAAATGTTGAGTTGATAAAGAAGCGCTACATTAAAACTGTGTTTCCAACAAAATGTTCATTGTCCTTGCAACTTTGACTGCAACAGAGCGCCCGATGGAAGAAAGCCCCACGAGCGTTTGCTCGTGGCTTCTGATATATACGTTATGATATTGGGTTGGGCCATAAGTAATGGCGTTTTTATCTCACTCGTAATTTTGCGCTCAAGGAAAAAAGTTTTGCTGTTGCTATCTTTGTACCATTTTGCAGAAAATTCCTTGCCCCATAATATGGTACGCTTAGTTTTTTGAAGATTTTTCCCCACCAGTAAGTGCTCAAACTGGAGTGTCAGGCCGACGAAATTTAGCATTCGACGGCCTTCCCCTTTTACACCTAATTAAAAAGCGTAAACCGCACAGGCCTACATGTCAAGTGAATGGCCGCAAATCTATGTCTCTTAGGAATACTTAGAACCGTTCGAGGATTTTGAACATTTTGGTTGACTTCACAGACAAGCATTTAACTTAATGCCCTATCAAGTCCAGCAGACAGCTTATTGGATCAGCTTGTTCGAAGAGATGTATGCTAAAGAATGGAGAACTGTAAGAGGTCATAGAATGCTTCCACATCATTATTGAGCACCGCCCTCAAACGATGGGAGAGGTTCAAAATTTGGTGGATGGGTTCTGCGGGCAGTCCATCCACAAGAGGGCACTCTATGCAAACACATTCACAAGGTCCGAATTCCCATCTGTTTATCACCTGAACCCACTTCGAGCCATCGCAAGTACCATCTTTCCTTGGTCACATATATCACGAGCATTGAGCTACTTCTGTGATTTCAGAGCCTAGATTGAGTGCAAGAAGTGGTTGTCAAAAACTCACTTTCGCGCCGACCCGACACCCATTTTAATAGAATAAAACTCTACAAAAATCAAGAAGCAGTAGGAAGGCAACCATATCATCTTGTAGAGCGGGAAATTGTCTATCAGATGATAAAAGAACAAATTGGGAGCAATTCTCTTTTCATGTAGAATTACTCCCAAAGTGTTCTGCGTAAAAAAATGTAGATGTAAGAAAAAAGTACATAAATATGTAAGAAGAAAAAAAACGCCATTACTCATGGGCCAACCTAATATTTGCATATACCGCGGCGACACGTGCGCTTCCCAGACCCGCGATTATGATCGAATTCCAGGAGTTTACCGCGAACCGATGAACAGCAGAAACGATCGAGATGATCCTTACCGAATTCGTCTAGACTAGTAGCTAATCAACAGTGAGTATGAACGCGGCCTAAGATTGATGTCATTTGAGCAGCGTTCATAGTTTCTTGACAATACAAATTTGGCGATTTAAGAGATTCGGTGATTCGAGGCGCCAATCGATACCCACCCACTCTTTTGGCGCGCCATCGCCTGAAACGCTGAGGCTCCCAAGTACTCAATCTCTCAAAACCCGGATCGATACCTATATTTTCCTTGTCGCGCAGTCCTGGGATCACCCAATTTCCAGTCGTCAAGTTAGCAATTAGTTACATTGTCGCAGAGACGCGCGCGAAAAGTTGTTATACCCAGCAGCAGGTTCTTACCCTTCTCGCATGAATGAACCTCCCAGCGAGCTTTCAAACATCTCTCCTCGAATATCAATAGTTTACATGGATAAAACAGAGAAAAACATGCAAAATAAAGCGAGTAAAAACATTTGCGCCATTCGAGGCGAAGCTGAGCCCAACTGAGCTTGGGTGCGCCTTATGCCCCAGAAAATAGAGTAAATAAGACAGACATTGGTTTCAAAGGCATTGCGATGAGAAGTTATGGTAACATCTAACCTTACTGCACTATAATGCCCTTCCAGACGACGAAAAGCCGGTTTATCCAAGGCTACGTTAAGCAGTTGCCTAGCCAAAGTCTCGGAAGCATAGGTCATGATAATCAGGCCGTCCGATATTCCCATTAATAGTTTGCCTTGACCGCTCACGAATAACGAGCATGTGATGGTCCCGAAATTCTGAACATAATTACTTGGTTTAACTGACATAAGACAAATGAAAATGAGGATTGCAGCTGACCGAAACTCCCATGGTTGGTTCTTCTTCCTTTTTGAGACCTACCCATACTGACGATAAAGACTCTTCGAAGCTGCCTCTGTATCCTAAGAGCAACATGTTTTCTTTGGAAGCTTTTGAAAAACAATAGTAATCGCAGAACCATACTCAGAGGAAATTGTGGTGCAGAAGAGAACTTTTTGTAAACCTCCTCATCAAACCGTGGGATCCTCCATATTTGAAGCTGTCCTGTTTGTGTGGCCCGTGCAGCTTGGAACACAGACGGGTCGCTCCGCTGTGAGGCAAAAGTGAAGTTCACATCACCCAACCACTGCAAAAATGACTACACCACCTTGGAAACAGAGTATCTCCTACATATTACTTAAAATAACGTAGAGAAAAAAGTCACCGAGCGAACGTTTGGTTTTGAGTCTTCCCATACAGCGAACTCGAACGGATCCGATATCCCCAAATAGTTTTTTGGACTTGCACCGAAGCGCTGGCGAGCCTGAGCACCCTCCAGCTTCCTGTACGAAATCTTCGGAATAAACAAATGAGAAGAAATGTTCTGACAATAGAACGGATAAATCACTCTAGTGGAAGCTGGTACACCCTGAGCGTATGGTCCTCAAATGTCACGGCTAACTTGTCAACGTCCAAAATCTTCCCATTTATGGCCCTGTTCGGGCAACTGTAAACCATAAGGATGGACAAGTCGTCGAGATCTACCAGCTGAACATTACCGATTACAAATTAGCTACATAATACGATTACCACAACATACCTGCCAGTTTGTTGAACAGACAACAAGAAGAAGCCGTTCGTTGACGTTATTGAATGAAATCGATTTAACATCTCTCAATTCTAGCCGTTTCGATTCATCTTCATATAAAGGTGTGGCGAGATCCTGTGAGGACCTTATTTGAAAAAAAAAACACAAGCTCTATGTGAGGTCTTCTCCGATGTGCCTTACAGCGATTCTTGCAACAAATGTTCAAAATTCCTGAATATGTACGCGATAAAATCTACGGCACTATTAACAGTTTGATGCCTCAATTATCAGAAATCGGTTTAGTTTTTTACGTCTATTCTCAGAAAGCAAATCTGGCTAAAAGTTTGATTATGGGGTTAGTTTCACCTCCTGAACGTGAGCGTCACTCGGCACGAAACTACCTAACGCCTGCGCCTCAAGGATGGCACCACACAACTTTGTCTCAACTCCAGCGGGCACAGCATTGAGCGCAAGCGATTTTGCGCGAAGCCCTAGGAATGCTTTCCTTTACTAAAGCTCCCCCTTAGCAGAGATCAGTAGGAAAGGATCACTGTTCCTGGGAAAGGGTGCGGACGAACGGATGTAGGCCGCGCCTCAGGTGTTCCCTCACCCTTACTCAGACACTTGGTTGGCCTTAATTTATAAGCGTGTTATGGAGGTAAAATTAACTATGGAAGTTTTGAGCGAATTTCCGATTTGGGCTGTCTTGGATTCGACACCAGTGGTGTGGCCACCAAGCAGTCTTGCCAAACCTATGCGATCAGGATTCAGGAAGGTGGTCGAAAGACCCTTTGGACCGATCTTCAGACGACTTATGGTTCTGATCCACACTTCGAAAAGTGGGGCAGTAGAGAGTAAACAAAGCCCATTCCACAAAAATAATTATAAGTAAATAAATATCCGCTGGATGAATGGATGACTACCTTTTTTTCCAGCTCCACTAAGGACCACACCTTTATCATTCCTGCCATTGAAATAGCGATGCATTGCTCTGACTTGTTCGTTCTTTGCACAACATCATAACAACAAATCCAATCAGGTTCCACCCTTCAATTCCATTTCATTCATCAGAAGGTCGCACAAATCACATCATAGTGCAATCACCTTGAACTCAGCTGAAACACAACTGTGAGGTCTTGTGGATCCACCACAGCAATGTCGCTGTAATCGCCAATGCAGAATAAACGGGTCGATCTGGTGTGACGAGAAGACTTGTAAGTCTAAAGTGGAAAGGGCAGAAAGCAAACCAGGTTAGTAAGGATATGTCAACCTGGAAAATTCAAAATCGCACCACTAACATAAGGCTGCATATATCGGTGAACGAATACGGATGATGCCGAATCAACGCAACGACCGTCTTGAACATCCCACAAGCAAAGATGACCATCAGAAGACGCGGTGATGAATCGTCTGAAATTTGTGCATAGACATTAGATGAAGTACTGGTAATAGTAGGAGTGATATATTCATCAAATGGGAAAAGATGTGGGTTCGAGACCATCAAATGCGTCCGTTCACGACGGTATTGATATTGGTAAAGAGCGTACGTTGACGATGGCAGATTATTGGTGGGTGAAATGGCAGTTATGGGAGCATCGTGTCCAATCATAAGCTGGTACGGTGTTAATGCTTCTTCGTCACACTTCCACGTGATGACATGACCATTTAAAGCACCTTCAAAAGGGATAATCATTGAATGGAGAATTTCTTCCTCAGAAACCACTTCTTTTGAACTATAGATTTTCACCTGTGACTATTGTGGTTCTATCACTCAAATATCGAACCGCCGTTATTCTGTCATCCGGGGGTTTTTGTCCCCAAATAACAATCGGTACCACCAGTCCATTTGTGGTCGCCGGAGGAGGCTCGCCTGAAGCCATCCTGCAAAAGTTCTCAATAACGTTCTCTATAACAAGTCACGATGAAAATGTGTGCTCGACTGATTACAGAGCATACAGAGAGGCTGATCAAAAAGAACAAGGTACAAGTATCCCACATGGCAGCAGGAAAATACTTCGAAAGAAATTTCGCAGTCACAAAAATATGTGTTTGAGCAAGTTATTCATGCGTGACAGCGTGTTTAGCATCATCTGGAATGCATTAGTCGTTGTGTAATTATTGCTAAATCTTCTGGACTGGTTATCGGTAATTCCGAGTAGGGTAATACTATGGATAGGGGCCCTTTATGAAGAGTTCCAAGGGGCCGCAGCAGTGCAAGAGAAGCATCGCAAGCAACCACCTTTTCCAAGATGACGATCGATCTCAGGCCGCATTGATACCCTGCGAAAGTGAAGAACAGCGAGCTGCGAAATTAGTAGCATGAACAGTTAGGAGCATGGACAGTAGAAATGTGCGAAAATAGATCGATATGTATTCAATTCTGTCGCACACCCGTCAATTCTCCAAATTCCACGACCGATTATCCTTTCAGATTGATACGTATTTAATCCTTTTCGCAGCCTCCTCTATTCTCCCCAGTTCCGTAATTCGCCAATTGTTCACTTTCGCGACATATAAATGTGACCTCACATTTTAAAATAGACTCTTTACAATCTGAAAAGAACTGGGCAGACGGACGACAGATCCACCAACTAGCCTTGGGACTTCTCCAAAAGAATGTCATCAGTCATTTAGCATGTATTCTGTCGCGGTTAGTTCGTCGCTACCTAATCATAATTTGATTTTTGTCATGTTTAAGCTCACTCCTCTTGCCCTTTTCGCTCTTATGCACCATCAGAACACTTCCAACGCTACGCGTGAATATCAGTGCAGAAACTGATGGTGAAATGACGCTCGCGAAATGGAGCGGAAAGAATCGAATGAATCGTTTACCAAAAGTCGGGAAAGGGGAAAAAGAGGAAGAATCCTACTAGAAGCTCCCTTCACCCTGAGATTTATTTCTTGCAGTTCGTTCTTTCATAATCCTTGCAGTTGAAAATGCGCGCTTTCCGAGAGGGATATGTAGGCAGGAAAAAAGTCAACGAAGTTATGCTAAAATAGAACAACCAGCTAATTTCCCGAAAATCGTGGCACAAGTACGTCACAAGAGCGTAGTTAGCAGATTTTCGGGAGTAAGGGGCACTATACTAAGATTTTCTACTTCTGATATAATACAAGTAAACATACCAGTTACAAGAAGACACCCGGAGTTCAATAACCTGCAGGCCAGGCACATTAAATTTGGGCGGATGGCTGAGCGCAGGAGGCGCACGATTGTGGAACAAAAGGCAAGCAATGCTCTCGTCACTGTGTGGCTCGTTGGGTGAAAAAGAAACTGTGACTGTGAGTGCGGTGGCAACATCGCATCTGTCTGAGTCCTTGTTGTTCTCTAGGACATATGTGATCCGAGAGAAGGTGGTTTGATCAGATTAGTGTAGCCACCGCTAGTGGACCCGTTCGTTTGCGGTCTCCCTGTACAGGAGAACTTGGATCGTGTACTGAACTGTTCTTAAGCAGTGCCCGATCCGCGAATCATGGAAACGAAGTATAATCAAATTTTCACAGACTGTCATTTCGTTCCGTGGAAAATTTGGGTTTTCGTGCGACATCGCAAGAACTTATCAGACCATATTGCGAATATATAAATAAAACAATTCATTGGTCAACAAATAACAACAAAACCAAAGTCAAATGACGATCAAAAAGAAACTCATTTCATATGTAGTCGAAGGACGTGTAATCTCAGAGCACGGCTCAGCTATCATTCAACTTTAGCAACAGTTTGATTCTTTGGAAAGTACAAAATCAACAACATAATTACAAAACACGAAATCGAATCGCAAGGGATTGACTGGCGCTTACTGCTCAACCCTTCGAAACGTTACTCGAAAAAGAAGCGCTAAGTCTTTTTCCTTGCTTTCAACAAATCGACCTCCATTTCCATTCCTTCGTCGGGTGATGGCCCTTGGGTGATCAACTCCATTGTCTCGCCTTCCAAAGTGTCCAGATCTTCTAATAAATCAGCAACTTCATCCAGTTCACGCTTCAATGAGATAACACGGTCAGCCATGACAGAGAATAACGTGCATAAACTTCATTTTATTGATTTGGTCAAAAGAAAATTATGGGAGTAGAAAGGGAACCAAAATATCGGAATACCTTTCTACTGCTAACAACTGCGGTTTCAAAAGTCGCAGAGACAGCCGTCTTCATGGAGACGTTATCCACTGCATCAGCTATTAATGCCACCTGGTTGGCAATAGCTATCTCCTCACGAGCTTCATCAGGTGGAGCTGCACCTCTCTCACCTAGCGGGTTTTGCTGCAAAAAAATTGTATTTTAGCATTGCAGAAGTCCATTGACACATAACTGCTCACATTTAAAATAACACTTGGCTGTTCCACTTCCACGTACTCGTCCATTAGCTCCACTGTCGGAGCTACCAGTTCGTTCGGCTGAAAACATTCAAGAAAAGTGAGAGAGTGAAGACGGAAAAACGAAAGCATAACAATATTCCGACGGAAACGAGGTATTCAGGTTCGATCATCGACGTTAAATCAATGATCCATGTAAGATGATCGCGAAATGGGTTGTTTTAGAATGACACTTTTACGGATTTCACTGAATCCACCAAGGGTGGAAAGTCATCTAAAAAGTTTAGCGCCAAACAGACGAAGTATCGTAGTCGAAAAGCTTGCTTTGGGTAGGAGCGGATTACAGGAGCTATTCGGATCGGAGTGAAAAAGGAAAAGTGTCCGTTCATACAGCCATGCATGCAACTTACCTGAGCCTCCTTGGTAGTGAGTAACTGAGCGTTCACAGTTAGCTCAAAACCGGCTGGTTTTTGATATTTGGTCCGCTTCTGTACGTCGTCCCGGATAACGGTAGAGATCAATTCTGACAAGTCAACGGCCCGATGCATTGCACGCTTTACGCACGCTTCGATCTGAAACGCATAAATGAACCTGCTCAAAAACAGGCCGGTCATGCCGCAAACTGAATTTTGAACTCACAGCGCTCGTACTTAAAATGAGATTGGATGACTGATGAAGGGCGCAGACTTCTCGACGCTTATTGCAGGCAATCACAAGACATCCATATAGACACTGGGATTCTTTGTCGGTTGGATCAACGACAACAACGTTCCTGAAAATCGTGACGATCACTTGGTAATGGTGGAAATCTAACGAGCATTCAACATACCCGCTCTTCGTGAAACCAAATGACACACATATGGGCATGTGGTAAATGTTGAGAGGTACAAGCGCTTGCTCGTACTCCGAATGCTAAAACTCTGGGATATCTTGGCGAAAGTTCTCATCCAAACTATGAAACATAGAACACTACCACAAAGAAATAGTCAAAAAACCAAGAAAAACGAAATTTACAATGAGAGTGTGATTTGGCTGGACGGTAACATTTGGGCGACGGAAATGATAGAGTGCCGCTACAGCTGCGACTGAGGCGCAATCTAGAAGACCGCCATCATCGTCGAGGATACGCACGTCAACTCTCAGTTTCCAAACTTCTTTGTGGGCTCGCACGCAAAGGGACTAAAATATGACTATCACCAGTGGTTTCACTTTTCATTTCGTTGAATGATTTCATTTCGTTGAATGAAATCTGAAATAACAAATTTTCTAAAAGGTCAACTTCAAAGGAGAAATCAAAGATAGGGTTGATAAGTAAGGTAAGGGAAGATCTGAGATGTCCACTGCATGGCACTCTAGGAAGAAGCACTTGGTCCCGCTGTTCAGCGTCCCTAGACAAGGTTCTGCGTCCGCACATACAAACTTCGTCTCTGGACGCAGAGCAGCGGACTCTACAGCGTTGCCGGGAGTTCAGAGCCATATGCAAAGACTATAAAAATAATACGTGAAAGGAATGGAATGAGCTCTTAAATGAAGGAGAGGATAATAAGGAACACTCAATTACAGCTTTCACCAAAGACTCGACAAGGAAAAGGTGAGTTTGCAATGTAGTGCTAACCATAAACTTCTATCAGCAACCCAACCGTGCCTTCAAGGAGCGTCCTGGCTCCTAAAGGGGCCTAAAATGAAGCAACCTCAACGATGAGCGAACAAGCATGACGAAAGCACTCGATCGCTGTTCGCTTAATCTTGCGCTACGTCGGCATCGCGATATATGTACCAAGCGTTATAGTGATGTGGTATAAGAGGGAGTATTTAAGAGAAAAGAGTGAGGGGGATAAAATGAAAAAAAAACCAAAATGAGAGAAAAAACGTAAAAAAAACGAAGAATAAGCCCAACATGAAATAACTAGAGCACCATGACAACATTTTTTTCGAAGGACGTTCATTTTTCTCGAGGAAGAGCCAACAGTATACTTACCTCAACGTCAATGCATCGTGAGTCTCTGAGCACTAATTCGAGCATGCGCGTCAGTTCAAGCCCACGTTCACCCAGGCGATTATGTTCTTGTGCTGGAGGAACGAACGTTAGGATTTTTTTGACCATGATAGAATCCAGTCAACGAAAAATGGAATGGTCATCACAGTGAACAAGCAAAAATAACCGTTGTGTACGTGAACCACTCCATTTTATTTTATATATGTAGTTGAAAAAAAGCATTTCGCGTATAAAAAAATATTCCCTACATCGTTGTCCACATAAGCTATGAAGTGAACACAAATTTCGTGAGAATAAGTAACGTGACCCACCTGGGTTGCCCATCGGGCTCATATCAACATCGACCGTGACGAAACCTTTGTTAGGGCGAGTCGTGCGCGGCTCGCATAGTGTAGCACTCACGGCACACAATACCCTCGAAATCAAACGTTCTTCGATACCCCAGAAAACTGTGAACCATCCGAACATATCGGCAACAAATTTCAAAACCAAAACCTGAACAGCTCACTTGGTTTCCCCCATGGTGCACAATGCAGTCCCACATTCCGAGCCAACAACAAGCTTAACTTGCCGAAAATCAGTCAACGTACGACCATCAAGTCGCTGTAAATCCAGTAAGAAAATCAAATTACATTTCTAACACCTTTTTTAGCGACCTGATTCTACACCGACCATGAGCACACGAGTAAATTAATGCTGCCAGATCTCGCGATATAAGTGTCATGGATAGTTGATGTTCAATATGAAACAGTAGCTGATAAGTAATTCTCCAGAAAAGAAAAAAAAGCAAGAAGAGTCCTCAAGAACACTATAAACACATCGCGCCCTGACAGTCACACCTCCTGTGGTCTCTGTGCAAGCCCTGGCTCCATAAATCACTTTATCACTCTCACAGTAGTGGATATCATCGACTACGAAGAAAAGAAGGTGCTAACGTATTTGGGGGGGGGGGACCACGCGGCGAGCGGCGAGCGATGACTCATCCCCTCTTCTGCTCCCTCCTCGGCAAAAAAGAAGTAATTTCATGTTTAGGACATGGATATAACACCGTCCTAGCTATACTTAAAAGCTAAAACAGTTAAGGCTGAAAAGTGCGAAGAAACAGTTGTAGACTGGGAGATTTTGCCTAAAATACAAGCAATTGTTGCCTTTTTGTTGATTCTTGACTATAAAAGATCAAATATTTGTTGTTTCCAGCTTCTGTGGGATTTCCCAGCAAGTTCCTTGTGAATCTTGTTTGTTTCATTCTAATTTGGCTGCTAGTTTCGCGCTTCAAGTATGCCTATGAGTGAATAGCTGATGAGTCATCCCTCGCCGCTCTCCGCGTGGTCCCCCCCCCCCAAATACGTTAGCGCCGAAAAGAATACAAAAAACAACAAAAACAGAGAGGAAAAATTCTTGAAAAGAAAAATAAACATTTAAAAAGCCGGCATCCGAATTTGAGGTCCCGGTAGCGTGCATATTTTAGTGTAATGAAAGGCGTCGAACCTTAGCACCACGAAAATCGGGTCGCTCGTGATTTCTACGCGCTTTATCTTGCGAGATGTGTTAAAGTTGACTGTATGTGCTCCTGATTAATAAAGTGTAATAAAGGAGAGCAGAATCATTTATGTACATGAGCGCTGTCAGCGAAAAGGACATGCAATACCGATTAATGCCTGCCGCCCCAACAAAGACTGAGCTGCCCTTCGTCGGAGGGCATCTAACAAGTGGACGGTCCCACTGAGCGGGAGTTAGAACTAGAATTTTCAGCGGCTGTAGCTCGCTCCTCGCTCGCTGTGAAGTCGCGAGAGTGGGTAGTCTCTAACTTGGGGCTGTACTGCTTACACAAGGAAGAACGACCATGTACTACTTGAGCGCGGGGCTGTCTTTCAGTTTAAGAGCCTTGAACACGAAGCCGTTGGATGCGCTCATCGCGATAAGGTCACTCTAATCGGTGATTGGAGCGACCAGATCGCGGAGCATGAAAGCACTTTTAGTCTACGTTCAAAAATTTCGTCGGCATTTTTAGCATTTTGGATGGAAAGAAAAGTACAGTTTTCGATCCACCGTTTTGGGAGAACCTAGATCGATGCACATACTAGCCAGGATTTTTATCACTAGCATTTCGGGCGAAAAGGGAAAGTATAGGCATGGATCTAGCGTTTCTAGCGCTTAATACGCTAGATCGGTAGCTATACATTCATCTCCACCGGAACGCCGATGAAAAGTTCAAGCACAGCCTTAGCAAAACCGGGGTGGTCAACCATGGGAGGTGTGTATGGTCAGCGAAGGAAGTAGGAGCGGGGTTAAGTGGTCCGGTGGATGTGGATTGAGTGTAGGGACAAAGAATTATTTCCAGCTGTCCATGACACCATGACTGAGGACTTGCACATACATAAGGAAATTGAACTCAAGGCACTCAGTGATCAGCTCTCGTTCCCCATCCGGTGTTTGAAACTACAGAAATTTAATTGGCAGCTTGCGCTTGGGTCTCAACTTCTACACAATGGTGTGATTCATGACCCGTTTCTTGTGTCTTCTTGATGGAGACAGATTAGCGGCAGTGATGAACTTGAGGTCTACCCGTGATTCAAGGTCAAAAATAGAAAAATTAGGGCAACAGTGGCAACACCCTTACAATCTAATCTACAAACACTCAACAAACCTGATTTTCCGCAAATCCCTCCTGTACAAACTTTATTTCACAAGCAGACAACGGTTCGTTGCGCATCTAGACAAATTATACTAGTAAAAGCCATGTGATGTCCAAAGGAAAATTTAACGGTAAGATAGGATAGAAAAATGATAAACATCACATTCACCTTAAAACAATTCACCGAAAAATTTATTACAGTCAACAAAAGTAATGTAACAAAAACAAGTGGCAGACTCCTACAGAAAATACCTGAAGAAGAAAAAAACGATATAGGGAGTCGGAAAAATAAAACCAAGCACTAGTCAGTTGTGTGTAGCAGATATCGTTCAAGGACAGCTTGTGATGTGTAAGGAAGGACTCCACAGTCTGAAGATCACTTTGGCAGCGGCATTTGGGCAAGCTGTGCTTGGATCTTAGATTGTAGCGTTTCGGATATGATATTTCTCGTTCGTTTCTTATCAAGAATAATTTTCTCTATCGTTTCAACCTGAAGAGAAAAAGCTTGGGCTGGATTTTGAGTCCGGTATTCAGCACATATTTTCTAATAATTTCTAAGGCAGCGTTCAGACTTCGCGACGGCAGCGCTTCAGTCGTGCGTTCGACGCGATCGATGCAGTTGACAGCATGCGCATCGATCGTCGAATCGCGCGACCGAAGCGCTGCCGTCGCGAAGTCTGAACGCTGCCTAAATGGATAACGGATCACTAACAAAAAAGCGAAATGGATCCATTACAGTTGAACAGTACCTGTTTCGTGATATATTTCTTTTTACGGTCGAAGAAGTCGCGGGCTTTTTCACGACTAACTTCTGCAAAATATCCAGTTCCCATCTCAACGAGCATGCGATCTGGATCAACTAGTTCAGCACGTATGTACATCTGCAAAACCAAGAAGATTAGAAGACAAATGATACCTATGAAAAACAGAAACTGAAGGGAGAAAAGGAATCGGAGAAATGGAGAATGGAGGAATGCGAGCCAAGGATGTAATGTCGATCTGGCATTTTGGGAGAGTATAAGAATATGATGATAGCAGAACAGGGAACTTTGGGGGACTGCGCATAAAAGGAGTAAGTATCGATCGATTGCCAATCTCCTGATCACCCCTCGCAAAGTATGAACACGTCTGACTCTGAGATCAAGTGTTGGATGAACAGCAATAGACAATTCATAATAATAATAGTAATAACAATAATAATAACAATAACAATAATTATAATAACAGTAATAATAATAATAATAATAATAATAATAATAATAATAATAATAATAATAATAATAGTAATAACAATAACAATAATAATAAGAGTAATTATAGTGTGTCATGCACCCCGCTGGACCGCCACAAGCCATTCTATAGGCAAAATACGCATCCATTGCATCTGGAAGTGAATACTGAAAAAAGCCATTGACTTAGTCTCCACATTATATTTCCCCTAAGCGTGATTTAGCGCTACTCGCAAAAAGATTCTCCACAGATAAATGCATCACAACTGTTGCATCAACCAGGTTTGATCAAAAAATTTTATCTGCTTGGATTTTTTACTGCAAGAGCGCGTTCAGACTTCGCGATCGCGCGATCAAATCGCGCGACCGATCGCTCGACTAGGATCGCGCGATCGGATTGCTCGACTAGGATCGCGCGATCCGATCGCGCTACTGTGGGTGAAATTACACCGGGAGGGGGTCATGTCCGTTCATGTTCAACTCAACTCAACAAAGAACAACAACAAAGTTCTAGGAAGGGAGTCGTACTGATATCACCATTTCTCACATAACGACGCTGTATACTACCTCCAATAGGCACTTCCAAAAACGATATAGAGTAAGTTAGACCTTTTTGATATGCTTTTAGGCCGTGTTCATATTCGCAATACTGACGATTTGCAGAAATCGTCGAAAGGAAAGGTTGTGCATCGACCTGGACGACGGCAGAACAAACAAAGCAAACACAATGTGGCAAAAGTAAAGTGAATATCCGAAGCACTGGCAAAATCGGAGGAAGGGAGAGAAACGCTGTTGAAAGTTCTACGTGTCTTACTTTTGGAACAAGATGTTCAATACTCCGCTTGAACGTACTCAGATGCAAAACTCAGTATAATAATTACCATGTTGTATATTTAGTACTATTTTACATAGGAAATGATAAATAACTTAAAGATACTTCGAAATGTTCAAAATTAGGAGGGCGTTATGTACACAAAGGAAGGAAGAAGGAAAAGAAAAAGAGAACAGGAACAATAAACATGAACGAGCATGACACCCTCCCGGTGTAATTTCACCCACAGTAGCGCGATCGGATCGCGCTTATGTCGGTTGCGGGGTGTGCACTGAATGACTTCACATAAGAGCTAGAGTTTCGTTGAAGGGTCAGATCGCGCGATCCTATCGCTCGACTAGGATCGCGCGATCGCGAAGTCTGAACGCGCTTTAACCCTTCAACGAAGCTCTAGCCCTTTATGTGAAGTCATTCAGTACACACCCCGCAACCGACATAATTTTTAACAACCAATTTGATCGAATAGCTCGCAATAAGGATAAAAAGGATAAAGGATAAAGTCTTTGCCATTGATCAATCCCTTTGTGGCATGCGGAACGCATTCTACTTCCATTCAGAATCGTAGTGGCTTATTGAATGCGATGTGGCCTATACAATGACTTGCGGTGGCCAGCCGATGTACAAGTCAGTGTTTTATCCTCCCAGACAAATCTTACCAATTCACCCCCGGAGGGTAGAAGGCTTGGTTGGCCTGGGCGGGAGTCGACCCGGTATTTGAACACGGCGCCGCACGAGTGGTAAGCGCGCCACTTGTCACTACACACCTCCGCCTCTTGCTCGCAATAAGGCCTCGAATTTCAATAGCAAGTCGAAATGTAGGGATATCGTTTCTGAAAATGGGTGGTCTGCAGCAAGGGGATGCACGCCAGACTGCTTGTGTTGAAGGGTCGAGTAAATCATTGCGTCTAACTCGTTGGTAAGCACTTCTCAGTCATCTCGGAGGAAACTGCTGACCAGGCAGAAGTGCCTAGCGAGTGGCTCCGCCCCTATGATGGGCGAGGAATGCATCCTTGCATACGTTTGCGAGCAATCCTTCCCGTGTTCTACTTTCAGCTTCACATTAAGAAAATCGCCTTACATATGAAAAACTTTCCAATATTTGGAAAGAGAGGGCTATCAAACTCATTTTTTTTGCATAAAAAATACAAAGTAATATCTGTGTAAAATGGAGCACATAAAGTAAGAATCATGTTGCTATCCGGCTGCTTCATTCGTAACAGGGAAGGTGAATAAGTCAATGCGGCCATCTGCAATGAGGTGCATAGCGACGTACGCAGCTCGAGACTCCGTGCTCGAATCTGCACTCAACAAATAGCGATTCCATGAAAGAATACGGATTACGGAGATTTCTCAGCAATGCATTACAAAAAAGCAAAGAAAAGTGGTGGCGATCTAGTGGATAAGTGCGCTAACTCATGGTCGGGTGAGGGGGGAGGGGTTGAGTCTTAGTTTTTATCTGATTTGTTTGGCACTACCAGTATGTGCTTGGAAAGTGGTCCCCCTTTGTTACATTGTCGATTTGCAGCACTATTCGGCGCAAACTTCGTAAACTCTTCCAAACAGCGTTCCGCAAACTTCGAAAGCAGAGATGGGCTTCATACCTCAAGTTACGTCCACCAGCATACACCCATAACAAATGGGTGTACTGATCTTCTCCTGGCAATTACGTGAAATAGTTTGAAACTAGTATACACGTACAGATTAAGCAAAGACTTTGTCATCAGTACAAGTTGTACAACTGTGGGAGAACGTGACAGTAAGTCTAAAAGAGAACAAAGAAAAACCAAAAACTCACCGATTCGGACAAAGGGATAAGAGCTTCATGCCCAGGTTCTGCCGTCTTCAACACTTCCATTGAAGAAATGCTCTGTTCATTTTTCAAAATGAGTGCCTAAACCTAATCATGAAGGAATAATAAAGACAGAACTGGCGATCCACCAGCTCGAGTGTTCCCCAACCCCCGCCCTTTCGCAGCCGTGCTCTTTGTCATTTCATCCTAGTATGGCTATACAGCGACTGGTTCTTTATTATCTACGTGCTCCCTCGCCATAATAACGTGATTGTCCCTTCTGCGCTTAGTTTCTCCCCATCGCATGCCGTGTAATCATTTTGGAACTGACACGGCATTATTTAGAGGTTTTCGAGAGTTTTGGCCTCTCTTTCTAAATGCTAGAGTAACAACATATCAACATTTTCGTGTTCCCCCACCCCATACCCAAGAATGACAATCGCGAGTTCTGCTTTAAAGTGAATGAATTTAAATACAATACAGAAAGATGGGAAACCAAATAAAGGAAAGCAGGATTACAATACAAAAATCCCGAAAACTTCCACAAACCTTCAGCTGATTAGCAGATTCCTGGAAAAAGCCCAGCTCTTGCTCAACTTGCCGCTGCAGAGCGCTTATCTGCTCAACTCCAAGCTCTGCTATCGGTATACCAGAAGACTTTGCATCACCTCCTTCACTCATGCCTATTTCATAGCATTATAAGAGAAGGAGAGAAAAAAAACTGTATATGTATCCTTTTGTTCTAACTATGCAAAAGCGGCCTTTGAATAAAAAGGTCAGCGCGCAGCCTACATGACAACATTCAAAAGAATATGGCATAATACCTGCAGGTACATGACGGTACACAGCCCTCTTACTAAAAGGGACAACACAAAAAACCTTTTATTATGGCCTGACGTTTCGACTAGATCGTCTTCATCAGAAGCCTAAACGTGGGTTTGAAACTGCTTGCTCTACACCGCCAAAGATCTCCTCTTCCCTCCTTTCTGACAAAGAAAACCACCCAAAAATTTCGAATGGGAGCAAAGACTCACCCAGTCCACCATAGCGAGAGCGGAAGTGGCCGCTCAGTTAGATGTTAGTACTGAATGGGACTTACTGTGTCAATCTTGTATAATGATTATAGTCAGAAATGGCACGTCCCACCGCTCACATCAGTAGCTCGCAGTGCGACACAAATGGCAAGAGGTCATTTGCTATGGATAAGCACTCATTGCGGTTGTTCATTCTAGGATTTCTTGCAGAAATCCAGAATCCCTCTAGCGCTTTTCTGGCAGAAATCTCAGTCTCTAAAAAATCGTAGTCTGTCAGAAACGTTAGGGAAGAGGAGATTTTTGGTGGTGTAGAGGAAGCAATTTCAAACCATGAACCACGTTTAGGCCTCTGATGAAGACGATCTAGTCGAAACGTCATGCTAATAAAAGTTCCACCTACAAAACAGCTCACAAATGGTTCCCGGCATAACCCAGCGCGAGCTTAGCAGCTATTCAAAGTAAAACAAGCAAGACTGGCCGAAAACTTGTTGAGATAACATACAGAAGCGGAAAACAAATGGACTTCGTGTAAAAAAGCTGAAGTGAATTGATGAGGTGAAATTGTGATTCCATTGTGAAGAAACCGCTCAAGATTCAATTTCTGCGACTTGATGATGAGGTATTGAAGCGGGTTTCTCTTTAGATTCTGCGGACCATCCAATTTAATTATTAGTGTCACTTTCACGTAAACGAATGGGTTCACCCAGGCCGGAAATCGTTCCCTTGTAGTTTAGGCAAGAAATCCAGCCTACTATTGTTTCTTCGCACTTTTCAACATCAGCTGTTTTACCCTTTGATTACAGCACCTGAGGGCAGTGTTATATTCATGTCCTAAACATGAAATTACTTCTATTTTGTCGAGTAGGGAGCAGAAGAGGATGAGATCGCGCACCACGTGCCCCCCCCCCAAATACGTTAGCACCATCAAACGCAACAAAAATACCGAGGTTCTAAGAGAGAAGTTGGACACTATAAAAAAACCCGACTTGTTAGGGAA